ACAACTACTTCTAAAATTTTATTGCTAACTGCTAGACCAACTTATGGGCATGACCTATTTTCTTTAGCTCTCATAATAACTTTCCAAAATTCTGAAAGAAATTTCACAGCTGAAAAATAAAGTATTTACTCAGAAAAGCACCTCTGAATAGGTACCAGGATGTTGTGTAAACCTAAGAATCAAAAAGTTGTGAATGACATGACTCCACTCACAGAAAGGCAAAGATCATTTATACCTAATGAATATTTTTCTACTATTTAGCTAGTGGTCCTATAATAAATTAGAACACTTCAAATTATAATCACAATTAATGTCATTGGGTTTGAAAAACAGTTCTTGCAATAATAAATGTGGAGTGGATGCTTAAGAAATAACTGTTGAAAAGTACTCCTAACATTTGTTCCTTACAAAAGTACGTATGTACTTGTGTTAGGAATACTAAAATACTAAACACTGGAAATAATTTCAATAGACCATCATCAAAATGTATGGTTAGATGGTTGTGGGCAAGTGTCTTGGAGTAGTGCACTGAGGTGGTACACTCCCAGTACCAAACTTGTTTTATGAACTTCTCTGAGCAAAGAATTTAAAACTACCATGAAAGGTTGACTAGGCAAGAAATGCTAGAAAATTGCAGGTAGGGGATGTGTAGACCAAGTGTTTACATTGAAGAATATTTTCTTCTTTCAACAAACTGGCCATATCCCACCGAAGCAGGGTGGCCCAAAAAGAAAAACAAAAGTTTCTCATTTTAATTTTATTAATGTATACAGGAGAAAGGGTTACTAGCCCCTTGTAACCTACTGATCATCCCTCCTCCCTTCTGCCGCCCAATACCCTCGCTTCCTTCCCTACCCTGCAGTGCTGTATAGCCCTTGTGGCTTAGCGCTTCTTTTTTTTATAATAATAATAGCCCCTTTCTCCCAGCATTTTAAACGTCTCTTACGATATACATGGCTTACGGAGGAAGAATTCTGCTCCGTTTCCCCATGGAAGAATATAAGTGAACAATATTTAGACAGAAGTAGAGAATTTATAAATTTAGAAAAGGCTTATGATAGGGTGGATGGGGGAGCAATGTGGAAGATGTTGCAAGTGTATGGAATAGGTGGTAAGTTACTGAATGTTGTAAAGAGTTTTTATGAGGATAGTGAGGCTCAGGTTAGGGTGTGTAGAAGAGACAGAGATTACTTTCCAGAAAAGTAGACCTTAGACATGGATATATAATGTCACCATGGTTGTTTAACATATTTATAGATGGAGCTGTAAAAGAAGTAAATGCTAGGGAATTGGGATAAAGGGTGGGTTGATACTGTACTTCCAAGAGATTCTGAAGAGAAGTTGCAAATGTTAGTTTACGAGTTTGGGAGGGTGTGTAAAGAAGAAAGTTGAAAGTAACCATAGATAACAGTAAGGTGATGAGGGTATCAAACGATTTAGATAAGTAAAAATTGTATATCAGACTGGAGGGAGGGAGTATGGAAGAAGTGAATGTGTTCAGAAATTTGGGAGTAGACTTGTCAGCAGATGGATTTATGAAGGATGAGGTAAACCATAGAATTGATGAAGAAAAAAAGGTGGGTGGTGCATTGAAGTATCTGGAAACACAACATTATCCATGGAGGCAAAGAAGGAAATGTATGAGAATATAGTGGTACCAAGACTCTATGGGTGTGAATCATGGGATGTGAATGTGGTAGCGAGAACGAGACTGGAGGAAGTGGAGATGTAGTGTCTAAGGGCAATATGTGGCATAAATATTATGTATAGAATATTTTTTCAACACGTTGGATGTCTCCCACCAAGGAAGGGTGACCCAAAAGAAAGAAAAACCTAAAAAGAAAGAAAAAACTTTCATCATTCAATACTTTCACCATCACTCATACCAAATCACTATCTTTGCAGAGGCACTCAGAGAATTTGTAGTGTGAAAATTAGGAAGTGTGTAGTTACTAAAAGTATTATTCAGAGGGCTGAAGAGGGGTTGTCATTTAAGGTTTGGTCATTTAGAGAGGGTAGAGCAAAATAGGATGACTTGGAAGGTGTATAAATCTGTAGCGGATCAGAAGACAGGGTAGGGGTTGTCCCAGGAAAAGATGGAGAGAGAGGGTAAAGAAGGTTTTGTGTGTAAGGGGCTTAGACATACAGCAGATGTGTGTGAGCATGTTAGATAGGAGTGGAGATGAATGGTTAAAGAAAAAAGAAAAAAAGAAGGCATCTTGGCTAGTGTGAATTTTTGGACCTGACGAGCTGTTGGAGTGTGAGCAGGATGATATTTTGTGAAGGGATTCAGAGAAATTGGTTAGCTGGATTTGAATCCTGGAGGTATGAAGTATAATGCCTGCAATTTAAAGGAGGGGTTTGGGATGTTCGTAGTTTGTTGTAACATCTAAGCTATCGTATCTGAGCGCCTCTGCAAAGATAGTGATCAGTATATGTGAATGGTGAAAACTTTTCTTCTTTTTTTGGGTCACCGTGCCTCAGTGGGAGACAGTCAGCATTTTGAAAATAAATAAATAAAATAAAATAATATATATATATATATATATATATATATATATATATATATATATATATATATATATATATATAATATATATATATATATATATATATATATATATATATATATATATATATTATATAATATATATATATATATATATATATATATATATATATATATATATATATATATATATATATATATATATATATATATATATATATATATATATAATATATATATATATATATATATATATATATATATATATATATATATATATATATATATATATATATATATATATATATATATATATATATATATATATATATATATAAAATATATATATATATATATATATAAAAGGGCAATGTGTGGTGTAAATATTATGCAGAAAATTCAGAGTGTGGAAATTAGGAGGTGTGGAGTTAATAAAAGCATTAGTCAGAGGGCAGAAGAGGGGTTGTTGAGGTGGTTTGGTCATTTAGAGAGAATGGATCAAAGTAGAATAACATGGAAAGCATATAAATCTATAGGGGAAGGAAAGAGGGGTAGGGGTCGTCCTCGAAAGGGTTGGAAAGAGGGGGTAAAGGAGGTTTTGTGGGTGAGGGGCTTGGACTTCCAGCAAGCGTGCATGAGCGTGTTAGATAGGAGTGAATGGAGACGAATGATACTTGGGACCTGACGTTCTGTTGGAGTGTGAGCAGGGTAATATTTAGTGAAGGGATTCAGGGAAACTGGTTATTTTCATATAGTCGGACTTGAGTCCTGGAAATGGGAAGTACAATGTCTGCACTTTAAAGGAGGGGTTTGGGATATTGGCAGTTTGGAGGGATATGTTGTGTATCTCTATAAGTATATGCTTCTAAACTGTTGTATTCTGAGCACCTCTGCAAAAGCAGTGATAATGTGTGAGTGTGGTGAAAGTGTTGAATGATGATGAAAGTATTTTCTTTTTGGGGGTTTTCTTTCTTTTTTTGGGTCACCCTGCCTCGGTGGGAGACGACCGACTTGTTGAAAAAAAAAAAAAAATATATATATATATATATGAGCAAGGGGCTATTAACCCCTTCTCCTGTATATATTACTAAATTTAAAAGGAGAAACTTTAGTTTTTTCTTTTGGGCCACCCCACCTCGGTGGGATACGGCTGGTATGTTGAAAGAAGAAGAATACACACACACACACACACACACACACACACACACACACACACACACACACACACACACACACACACACACACACACACACACATACTGACGACACTGGAGGACAGAAGGGTCAGGGGAGACATGATAACGACATACAAGATACTGCGGGGAATAGACAAGGTGGACAGAGATAGGATGTTCTAGAGAGGGGACACAGGGACAAGGGGTCACAACTGGAAGCTGAAGACTCAGACGAGTCACAGGGACGTTAGGAAGTATTTCTTCAGTCATAGAGTTGTCAGCAAGTGGAATAGCCTAGCAAGTGAAGTAGTGGAGGCAGGAACCATACATAGTTTTAAAAAGAGGTATGACAAAGCTCAGGAAGCAGAGAGAGAGAGGATCCAGTAGCAATCAGTGAAGAGGCGGGGCCAGGAGCTGAGTCTCGACCCCTGCAACCACAATTAGGTGAGTACACACACACACACACACACACACACACACACACACACAGTGTCCTGCCAAGTGAGTGTAAAATGAAAGCCTGTAATTGTTTTACACAATGGTAGGATTGCTGGTGTCCTTTTTTTCTGTCTTTTAAACATGCAAGTTTTCAGGTACATCTTGCTACCTCTACTTACACTTAGGTCACACTACACATACATGTACAAGCATATATATACACACACCCCTCTGGGTTTTCTTCTATTTTCTTTCTAGTTCTTCTTCTTGTTTATTTCCTCTTATCTCCATGGGGAAGTGGAACAGAATTCTTCCTCCGTAAGCCATGCGTGTTGTAAGAGATGACTAAAATGCCGGGAGCAAGGCTAGTAACCCCTTCTCCTGTATATATTACTAAATTTAAAAGGAAAAACTTTCGTTTTTTCTTTTGGGCCACCCCACCTCAGTGGGATATGGCTGGTACGTTGAAAGAGGAAGATATATATAATAAAATCAGAATAATGTAAACAGCAGCGTATCAGTTTTAAGTTTTATGGACAGATTTAACACACAAGTTACAAGCTAACAAAAGAAATATTTGTTTAACACGCTGGTCATCTACCACCAAGGCAGGGTGACTCAAAAAAGAAACACTTTCACCATCATTTGCACTATCACTGTCTTGCCAGAGGTGCATAGATATGACAGTTCACATGTCCCTCCAATCAGTAAATTTCCCAAAATCCTTTAAAGTGTAGGCACTGTATTCACACCTCAACCTTCACAAAACATTATCTTGCTCACACTCCAACAGCTTGTCAGGTTCCAAAAGCATTTGTCTCCACTCACTCCTATCTAACACTCTTAATGATAATTAGTACTATTTAGATTGAACTTACTTTCGCCCATATAACCGTAGCCTGTAACAATGCACCTGTTACCAGCCACCTGGCTGACGCCCCGGGCAGGGAGGCAGACCAGACATACTCCCTCCTTCAAATCAGCATGACCGTACAGCTTCAGGAGGGCAATGTCATTATCAAGTGTCTGGGAGTTGTGGTTGTGATGGATGTAGGTAGTGGCTACACGAAGGGTCTGGGCACCGGGGGAGCCAAACTTGGTAGTCAGATCGTGGTCACCAACTCGTACGTATATTGCGTCACCAGAACGAACAATGCTGCATGAAAGGCAGAGAATTAATTTTTTGTGTGGAAATATACACCCAAACTATAACTGTGGCCAATGTACAATCTACTTAATAAAAGAGAATTTAAATACAGTAATAATATTTTAAGATGCTTAAAAAAAAAAATGAAGGAAATGTAGAATACATATAACTTTAGTACACCTGTGTCTGGCATTTGGAATATTAGGAAAGAAGTAAATAATGAAAGTGACTGTCATAGGAATCCAATTAGAAGCCTGAGTAGATCTATGACTCGCTATGATACCATGAACATAGATAAGTACATTTATGGAGCAAATTGCAATGCGAACACTGATGTTGTAACAGCCAGTCTGGTAGACATACAGATGATGATCAAACTAAATACAAAATATGCCACTTGAACACTTCATGCTTAACTGTCCACTTACTGAGGAATACAAGGACAGACAGAATAATAACCTAAGTGATAGGCCAAGGTATCTTATTAATGACAATAAGATACTGGACATATTAAACAACATCCTAAATTTCCTTGCAACAGATAAGTCAATTGTAGCTATAAATCCAGATGCATTCCTGTTAGTGCATTTGAGGCTTAGCCCCTAGCCCTCTTGTGTATGTATATAATAATAAGATCTTTATTTCTACATGCAAGATTTCAGGTACATCTTGCTACTTCTACTTACACTTAGGTCACACTACACATGCATGTACAAGCATATATATATATACACACACCCCTCTGGGGGTTTAGAGCAGGTCGCTCCTGTCTGTCCCAACTACTGGATCGCTACGACAAGGTCCTAGATGCGTTAGAAGACAAAAAGAATGCAGATGTAATGTACACAGACTTTGCAAAAGCCTTCGACAAGTGTGACCATGGCATAATAGCACACAAAATGCATGCTAAAGGAATAACAGGAAAAGTTGGTAGATGGATTTATAATTTCCTGACAAATAGAACACAAAGAGCAGTAGTCAACAGAGTAAAGTCTGAGGCGGCTACGATGAAAAGCTCTGTTCCGCAAGGCACAGTACTTGTTCCCATCTTGTTCCTCATCCTCATATCTGACATAGACAAGGATGTCAGCCACAGCACCGTGACTTCCTTTGCATATGACACCTGAATCTGCATGACAGTGTCTTCCACTGCAGACACTGCAAGGCTCCAAGCAGACATCAACCAAATCTTTCACTGGGCTGCAGAAAACAATATGAAGCTCAACAATGAGAAATTTCAGTTACTCCAACATGGTAAACGTGAGGAAATTAAAACTTCATCAGCGTATAAAACAAATTCCAACCACACAATAGAGCAAAAAATTAATGTCAAAGACCTGGGAGTGATCATGTCGGAGGATCTCACCTTCAAGGACCATAACATTGTATCAATCGCATCTGCTAGAAGTATGACAGGATGGATAATGAGAACCTTCAAAACTAGGGATGCCAAGCCCATGATGAGACTTTTCAGGTTGGTTGTTCTATCTAGGCTGGAATATTGCTGCACACTAACAGCACCTTTCAGGGCAGGTGAAATTGCTGACCTAGAAAATGTACAGAGAACCTTCATGGCGCGCATAACGGAGATAAAACACCTCAATTACTGGGAGCGCTTGAAGTTCCTGAACTTGTACTCCCTAGAAAGCAGGCGGGAGAGATACATGATTATATACACCTGGAAAATCCTAGAGGGACTAGTACCAAACTTGCACATGAAAATCGCTCCCTACGAAAGTAAAAGACTCGGCAGATGATGCAGCATTCCCCCAATGAAAAGCAGGGGTGTCACTAGCACGTTAAGAGACAACATAATAAGCGTCAGGGGCCCAAGACTGTTCAACTGCCTCCAAGCATACACATGAGGGATTACCAATAGACCCCTGGCAGTCTTCAAGCAGGCACTGGACAAGCACCTAAAGTCGGTACCTGACCAGCCGGGCTGTGGTTCGTATGTTGGATTGCGTGCAGCCAGCAGTAACAGCCTGGTTGATCAGGCCCTGATCCACCATGAGGCCTCGTCACAGACCAGGCCGTGGGGGCGTTGACCTCCAGAGCTCTCTCCAGGTAAACTCCAGGTTACTTGTTCTTGCGTATTTCCTCTTATTGCCATGAGGAAGTGGAACAGAATTCTTCCTCCATAAGCCATGCGTGTCGCATGACGCGACTAAAATTCCGGGCTAGTAACAACTTCTGTATATGTTACTAAAGTTAAAAAGAGAAACTTTTGTTTTTCTTTTTGGGCCACCCTGCTTCAGTGGGATGCAGCCGGTTTGTTGAAAGAAGATCTTTATTTCTACAAGTACATGTACAAATTATACAGACCATAGCTAACATCAGTGATATACTACTGCGTATATAGAAAGCCGCTTCTTATGCAGAGCATTTTGGGCAAATTAGGTCACTTTTGTCCCAGGATGCAACCCAGAACAGTCGGCTAACGCCCAGGTACCCATTTTACTGATGGGTGAACATAGACAACCGGTGTAAGGAAACACGCCCAATGTTTCAACCCTCCCTGAGAATCGAACTGAGACCCTCACCATGTGAAGTGAGCTTTTATACAACCATCCACAGGATAAATATAGGATGCACGATAATCTAGCCACTTCAGTGGAAAAATCTAAAATCCTCAGGACAATCTCGTTAATGGGCTAGCAACAGCCTCGACAGGTTTCAGATTACCCCACCTAAACATGCATTTATAACCTGTTCCAGTATCTCTATTCACTTCTGAGTTGTTCCTTTATACAGTATTATCTTTTGCTTTAAAATGTGAAAGGCACAACAAATGAATAAATATCATACAAAATGTTAAATAATAAAAATGGGTCAAAGTTAATTCAGAAACAAATATTTAATTTAGATTTCTTGGGGAAGGGGAGAAGAAGAATCCTTCCTCTGTAAGCCATGCATATCATAAGAGGTGACTACAATGCTGCAACCAAGGGGCTAGTAACCCCTTCTCCTGAATAAATTACTAAAAGTAAAAAGAAGACAAACTTTCTGAAAGTGTTGCTTCTTTTTCAGGTCACCCTGCCTGAGTGGGAGACAACCAGTGTGTTAAAAAAAATGAAGAGTAGAATTGGAGTACAACAGATTCTATACAAGAAAATACTGACTGACTAGTACAATACAGTAGAGTACAGAGCTTTCTTTTAATCAATGACTTTTCTTTATTAAAAATTTAAAGTTTATTTTGGAAAGTCAGTATTATACTGTATTATGCTATCCTGGTTTTCAAACTCTGCATAGCTATTCATTTCTTTTGAACTAAATATACAACAGAACTCTCATTTCGCTCCTGGAGAGCGAAACGTTGCCACAATAAATGTCACATTAGTTGCACTTGTGTCCTTTTACTTTACATATTGTCGGTAATTCTACCAACTTTATTACAACAGAACTCTCAAATTCAATGAGGTTAGGTTCCTGGAGGCCCGTCATGAATCTAGAATCTGGAAATACCCTGCAGAACTTCCTTTGCTTACAAACAACATTGTAACTGTATTAATTTATATTGTATGTGTGAAACTGATATTAGCTTTAAGACAGACAGGCTGAAATATAATAGAGTAAAATTATGATTTAAGGGACCCTGATTTAATAGATTTCTGATGTAGTGAACAAAATCTGTAGCTGGATTCAAAATTTTTCATTGTCCTTAAGTCCACTAGTAGGTAAAATCATTTCAGATTTAATGAACAAGGTCCATTACATCCAGAACTGTTCAATACTTCATAATATTCTTGTAATTCAAATTTAATGGACAATCAGTGTTAATGAACACTCTCTCCTCCCTATCAGTACATGTATACATGTACATTAAACTGAGGCTTCATTATCACTAAATTCTGCCTGTAAGCTTTTTACAGATTATGAGTTCATTTTCTTCATGGGGAAGTGGAACAGAATTCTTCCACTGTAAGCTATGCATGTCGTAAGAGGTGACTAAAATGCTGGGAGCAAGGGGCTAGTAACCCCTTCTCCTGTATACATTACTAAAGTTAAAAAGAGAAACTTTTTTTTTTTTTTATTATTATCACACTGGCCGATTCCCACCAAGGCAGGGTGGCCCGAAAAAGAAAAACTTTCACCATCATTCACTCCATCACTGTCTTGCCAGAAGGGTGCTTTACACTACAGTTTTTAAACTGCAACATTAACACCCCTCCTTCAGAGTGCAGGCACTGTACTTCCCATCTCCAGGACTCAAGTCCGGCCTGCCGGTTTCCCTGAACCCCTTCATAAATGTTACTTTGCTCACACCCCAAAACAGCACGTCAAGTATTAAAAACCATTTGTTCCATTCACTCCTATAAAACACGCTCACGCATGCTGCTGGAAGTCCAAGCCCCTCGCACACAAAACCTCCTTTACCCCCTCCCTCCAACCTTTCCTAGGCCGACCCTACCCCGCCTTCCTTCCAAATACAGACTGATACACTCTTGAAGTTATTCTGTTTCGCTCCATTCTCTCCACATGGGCCCAACCCCCTCAACAACCCTTCCTCAGCCCTCTGGCAACAGTTTTGGTAATCCCGCACCTCCTCCTAACTTCCAAAAATATGAATTCTCTGCATTATATTCACACCACCATTGCTCTCAAACATGACATCTCCCTGCCTCCAGCCTTCTCCTCGCTGCAACATTCATCACCCCTGCTTCACACCCATATAAGAGCGTTGGTAAAACTATACTCTCATACATTCCCCTCTTTGCCTCCCGGACAAAGTTCTTTGTCTCCCAGACTCCTAAGTGCACCACTCACCCTTTTCCCTTCATCAATTCTATGATTCACCTCATCTTCATAGACCCATCCGCTGACACGTCCACTCCCAAATATTGAATACATACATTCACCTCCCCATCTCTCTCCCTCCAATCTGATATCCAATCTTTCATCACCCAATCTTTTTGTTATCTCATAACCTTACTCTTTCCGGTATTCACTTTCAATTTTCTTCTTTTGCACACCCTACCAAATTCATCCCCCAATTCTGCAACTTC